CACTCACACACACACAGTCACACACACACACACACACACATATATATATATATATATATATATACTGTATATATATATACACTACCGGTCAAAAGTTTGGGATCAGAACGATTTTTAATGTTTTTACTGGAGTTTCTTCTGCTCGTCAAGGCTGCATTTATTTGATCAAAAATTAATGAAAAAATTTAATATTGTGAAATATTATTATGATGTTAAATAACATTTTTCTATTTTAATATACACTAAAAATGTAATGTATTTCTGTGATCAAAGCTGTATTTTCAGCATCATTACTCCAGTCTTCAGTGTCACATGATCTTCAGAAATCAGTATAATATGCTGATCTGCTGCTCAAGACACATCTCTGATTATTATATATATATATATATATATATATACTGTATATATATATACACTACCGGTCAAAAGTTTGGGATCAGAACGATTTTTAATGTTTTTACTGGAGTTTCTTCTGCTCGTCAAGGCTGCATTTATTTGATCAAAAATTAATGAAAAAATTTAATATTGTGAAATATTATTATGATGTTAAATAACATTTTTCTATTTTAATATACACTAAACTGTAATGTATTTCTGTGATCAAAGCTGTATTTTCAGCATCATTCCTCCAGTCTTCAGTGTCACATGATCTTCAGAAATCAGTATAATATGCTGATCTGCTGCTCGAGATGATTATTATCAATGTTGAAAACATTAATATTTTTGTGGAAACTGATACATTTTATTTTTCAGGATTCACAGATGAATAGAAAGTTCAAAAGAACAGCATTTATTTGAAATAGAAATATTTTGTAACATTGTAATCAGTGTTGGGGAAAGTTGCTTTTAAAAGTAATGCATTACAATATTGCGTTGCTTCCTAAAAAGTAACTAATTATGTTACTTTGTAACTTTTTATGGAAAGTAATGCATTGTTTCTTTTGCGTTACTTTTTCTCATCTGCCTTGGCCTCATTTTTCTCTCTTCAGAGAAATTTTGTTAAGGAATCTGATTATGTGACTCACACTGATTATAAATGTCTTTACTGTCACTTTTGATCAGCAGAATGTGTTTTTGATGAATAAAAGCATGAATGATTGTGTGTGCGCTGCAGGATAAAGAGAATCCTCTAGATAATGTGCTGCTGTATTCTCTGAGGAGAGCCGGATCGGTCGAGATGTTGGATCAGAGCGGAGACGAGGACGAGAATCGTGCCGGAAACAAGACGTCGCGTGAGTTTCGCCGTCATGGTGTTTTTCTAAACCATCACAGACCCGATGCGGTGTCGTCAGGCGGCTCTCTTTCACTCTCTGTCCCCGCAGTCCCTCGTTCCGCATCTAACCTGGAGAACTCGGAGCACAAGCGTGTGAAGAGCCGCTTGAAGAAGCTGATTCTCCGGAGGCCTCCGCTGCAGACGCTGCAGGAGAAAGGACTCATTAAAGGTCAGCAGTCTTTACCAAAGTAAACCTTAACGCTCGGTTCACACTGAGGATCATAACTATAAAGATACAGTTCTAAAAATCATTCTAAATTGAAACGAGTCCACACCATGACTATAAGAATAACGGCACAGAGGAACGAATCTTTGGAATCGCTTTCAGATCGATTCTCAAGCTGATGAACAATAAACATTACAGCCAGACAACAAAATCATTCTAGTTATTTTTAGAGGCTTTTAAAGATCCTTACACACAAGATGTCTCTTTATTTACACGGTTTGTCTGAAATAAAATGTGACCCTGCAGTTAAGTCGCTGGGGGATATTTGTAGCAATAGCCAACAATACATTGTATGGGTCACAATTATACATTTCTCTTTTATGTCAAAAATCATTAGGATATTAAGTAAAGATCATGTTCCATGAAGATATTTAGTAAATCTCCTACTGTAAATATATAAAAACTTAATGTTTGATTAGTAATATGCATTGCTAAGAACTTCATTTGAACAACTTTAAAGATGATTTTCTCAATATTTAGATTTTTTTGCACCCTCAGATTCCAGATTTTCAGATCTCAGCCAAATATTGTCCGATCCTAACAAACCGTACATCAATGGAAAGCTTATTTATTCAGCTTTCAGATGATGTATAGATCTCAATTTCATAAAACTTACACTTATGACTGGTTTTGTGGTCCAGGGTCACAAATAATTTCATTTCCATATTATAATAAATAATTGTATTGATATTAATGGCTATGAATGTTATTTGTAATATATGGAAATAGAGTACATGTGAAATGTTTGGAAACATTACGATTTTTCTGACCATTTTCTGTAAATAAAACAGAGATTATTAAAGTATGATTTACATCATTTCGGTCTTTAACCTTTAAAATTTGATGTTTAATTCAATGCAATTTCTTTGCAATTATTTGTGAAATTGACTAGTGATTTCTGAGTGAGAATTGTTTCAGAGTAAATCCTACAGCAACTTTTTTCCCCCAGTGTACTCAGAAATAACATGCCAATTTTTATAATCTGGAAGAATTTTTGGTAACACTTTACATGCATAATGCATTATAAAGGGTTATTAAAAGGTATAATGCATTATAATTATTCATAATGTGAATTGTAATACATTATATCTTGTCGTAAGTAATTATAACCGAATTTAAAATGCATAATGTAACAATGACTTGCTAAGTGTTATAATGTATTATCTGTTGTTACAATTATTAATGTGATTGTACGATGCATTATAAGGTGCATTACAAGGCATAATTAATGCATTAAATCTACTTTTATAATGCATTACACATAAAGGCTTGAAGTAAAGTGTTACTAGGAAAATTGAGTTTTAAATATATTTATTTAGTTTTAATTGAATAAATCATGTGTATTTATTTTTTTCTTGAGTCTGACCTGTTCCTCTGTGTTTCTGATCTCAGATCAGGTGTTCGGCTGCGGGCTGGAGCTGCTGTGTGAGCGAGAGAAAAGCACCGTCCCAAAGTTCGTCAGGAAATGCACTGATGCTGTGGAGAGAAGAGGTGCGTTCACTGACTCACAAACACTGCAGCGGGAAAATATCCTAAGAAGGGAGGAGATTTGTGTTGAATAAAACATGATCGTAAGCAGGGGCGGCGCTAGGGGTGGGCTAAGGGGGCTGAAGCCCCAAATGTTTTAACTATGCCTTTTACGAATCATCACTGAGTTTTCATGCGCATTAATGCGTCTATTAGTACCGCAGATTTGCTTTCTGCACATCCAACCGTGTCTACTTGCATTGTCATTCACTCCCGACAAGACCCGCCCACTGAGGCTCGTACTTCTGATTGACAGGTAAACTGGCCAACCAGCGATAAAAAGTTACAGCAGCTGCTTCAGGTGTCTGTATAACCAAAGTCCCTTTATAGTCTTTGGTATAACTTATCGCTGTAATACCGATTTTAGGTTATTTGTTACTGAACCCTGTCACTGTGAAGCAACAAATATAGATATTTAATCATATAATGATATGCTGTCGTGTCTTCCTAGGACACGCGCATTTAGAGCGATTATATGAACGGTTTGGTCAGCATGGCCAAGCATGTCAGGGCAACAATTCAATGAACAAAAAATAAATAGTAAGTTATTTAAATTGTAGAGACAATATTGTCTTTTTTGCTCTATTTCACTAAAGAAAATGGTTCAAAACAAAGCCACGTTGAGCGTCTCTGCAGCAGCACACCGCGGTGTTTCCTTACTGAATAAATTTGTGTTTTGGGAGATTGAATGATTCACTGATCCATTCATAAAAACGGTTTCTTACTTCGTTCCTGAATGAATCGGCCGTTTTGAAAGAATCGATTGAATAAATGACTCAGTGACTCACTTATTAGGACAGTGGTTTGCCGCCACCTACTGGTAATTTTAGTTTCACATTTAAAAGTATATTTATAACATTAATCTCATAATATTATTTATGCAATTTGTACAAGTACAAGTGTTAGAAATAAAAAAAAAGTATATAGAACCCTGCATGTTTAATTAGGCTTATTTTTAAAGCCACTTACTCAATGTAAATATATACATATTGCTGTGTGCTAATCTTAACAACCAGTCCTGGTTAAAAATGTTACTAATGTTCTGTTCCTGTAAATAATTGTGTGTTTATTCAGGTTTGGAGACTGATGGGATTTACAGAGTCAGCGGGAATCTGGCCGTCATTCAGAAACTGCGCTTCGCTATCAATCATGGTGAGAGAGAGTCGATATCACATCATCAATATCATACTCATAACCATCATTCAGTGTAATTAAAAGCTACATGAAATCAAAAGAGAATGCATGTCCTGGTCTTACTGTGAATGATTCGTGGCAGCTAGCAGCAATACGTTTTGTGAGATTATTGTTATTTACAAACAATAAACATGACATAAACAATCAAATTGAATTAGTGATGTCAAACGATTAATTGCGGTTAACTGCATAAAAAATAAAAGTTTTTGTTTACAAAATATATGTGTGTGTACTGTGTATATTTATTATGTATATATATAAATACACACACATGCATGTATATATTTTAAAAATATTTACATGTAATTTATATTAAAATATAATGTATATATATATATATATAAATATTAATACTTTATATATAAACAAAACATATTTTTCTTAAATATATACATGCATATGTGTGTATTTATATATACATAATAAATATACACAGTACACACACATATATTTTGTAAACAAAAACGTTTACTTTGGATGCGATTAATCGTTTGACAGCACTAGAAATAATTTAATGATTTGAAAAATGCAAGAGATGCTTTTAATTTGGGACCAAATTGCTGGTATTTAGTTACTGATAAATGTACATTTCCCATAATTTAATATTAAAAAATATTTTTTTCCACAGTAACTATGGTAACAGGTTTGAATGGTTGAATACTTCATTGTGTAAAAATGGAGAAAACCCACTGGGATTAATTACTTTTTCTCCCATCGTGCTGTTGAAAAGACACTAATGATGTAATTTCCTCTGTGTTACAAGTTTAAGGAATTGCACACTTTATGTAATTGGAGGAAACTGAGGTTTTAGGCAGTTAATCTTATTACATTTTTGTACTACAGTGAGCTGATGATTGATTCATTTATTGATCAGATGATGTGCAGATGTGATGCACTGTAAGATCAGGGTCAAAAGGTCAGAAATATGGAGTTGCAGAAAACACTTAGAGAACAGCGGCCTGTCATGTGACGTAAGAATGATGTCATCAGACGTGTTAGTGTGTGTGTGTGAGAGTGTGAGTGAGTGTGTGTGTGTGAGAGTGTGTGTGTGTGTGTGTGTGTGAGAGAGAGTGAGTGAGTGAGTGTGTGTGTGTGTGTGTGAGAGAGAGTGTGTGAGTGTGTGTGTGTGTGTGAGAGAGAGTGAGTGAGTGAGTGTGTGTGTGTGTGTGTGAGAGAGAGTGTGTGAGTGTGTGTGTGTGTGTGAGAGAGAGTGAGTGAGTGAGTGTGTGTGTGTGTGTGTGAGAGAGAGTGTGTGAGTGTGTGTGTGTGTGTGAGAGAGAGTGAGTGAGTGAGTGTGTGTGTGTGTGTGTGAGAGAGAGTGTGTGAGTGTGTGTGTGTGTGTGAGAGAGAGTGAGTGAGTGAGTGTGTGTGTGTGTGTGTGAGAGAGAGTGTGTGAGTGTGTGTGTGTGTGTGAGAGAGAGTGAGTGAGTGAGTGTGTGTGTGTGTGTGTGAGAGAGAGTGTGTGAGTGTGTGTGTGTGTGTGAGAGAGAGTGAGTGAGTGAGTGTGTGTGTGTGTGTGTGAGAGAGAGTGTGTGAGTGTGTGTGTGTGTGTGAGAGAGAGTGAGTGAGTGAGTGTGTGTGTGTGTGTGTGAGAGAGAGTGTGTGAGTGTGTGTGTGTGTGTGAGAGAGAGTGAGTGAGTGAGTGTGTGTGTGTGTGTGTGAGAGAGAGTGTGTGAGTGTGTGTGTGTGTGTGAGAGAGAGTGAGTGAGTGAGTGTGTGTGTGTGTGTGTGAGAGAGAGTGTGTGAGTGTGTGTGTGTGTGTGAGAGAGAGTGAGTGAGTGAGTGTGTGTGTGTGTGTGTGAGAGAGAGTGTGTGAGTGTGTGTGTGTGTGTGAGAGAGAGTGAGTGAGTGTGTGTGTGTGTGTGTGTGAGAGAGAGTGAGTGTGTGTGTGCGAGCGTGAGATGTCACGTGTGTAATTCCTGTTGGTTCTTGCAGAGCGAGCCGTGACCACAGACGGACGCTATCTCTTCCCTGAGGATTTAGTTCAAGGTTTGTCTCTTCTAAACAGAAACAGTCTCGCTGCTGTCGCTCTGCTTTCTGACTGAGAGTCTCCCGCTGCTCTTCGCTTCTCGCTCGATGTTTTAGTGCAGGAAATCTGAGGCGGGTTTCTTATGGGTTTGGATCACGGAAAAAGCTTTATTAATGTGACATGTTGGTTCATCTGCTGTTATGACAGTTTTCAAACTGATTTTAATTTATGGCACTCCTAGTTTCTGTATAAATTATACAGAAACTAGGAGTTATTTTTTTATTAATTTTTTTATTATTCAATCAGGGACAATGCCTATTAAATATAAAATTTAAGCATTCCAGAAGTTTCTAGACCAAGATGTTCTTTAGAGTTCCTGATGATTTTATTTTTAAGTATTTTATTTCAAGAAACAATTTTATTTTTTTATTTTTTTTAGTTAACAATAATAAACCTGGTAGAAATTGTTAGTAAACATATTTTTAATCCATATTTTTAATCCTTATCTAGTAAATCAGGATCAAGTCATGTAAACTCTCACTAATTTCAGTTCATGTTATTTGAGTGTTTCAAGTATCATTTTTTATTATTTAATTTGTGTAAAATAAACTTAAACTATTTAAATTGAAGTACTATAATAAAACTGATATACAAATTATGTAGAAACTTTATAGAAAACTATATAGACATTAAAAAACAAAAACTAATAAAAATGACTAAAACTTCAAAATGAAAACCATAAAAAATATGGAAAAAAGCTATAATAGTATATAAAATAACACTGATTTCTACTCTACAAAATATTTCATAGCTTGGCATAACTAAAAAAAAAATTATATTGATTATAAAAATGCTGTTTTAAGATTTTATTAGTTAACATGATTTTTCCAGGTCTAAAAATGACAATTTTAAAATATTTTTTCAAAATTATATATCCCGGTTTTCCAAAAAAATATTTTTAGCAGATAAAATTTTTGAATTTATTTTATTTTTTTTGCTTAAAAGCTAATTTTGTCTTTTTTTAAACAATTTTTAAATCAGAATTTTA